CAGGAATTTTATCAAGGCTGTTTATTATTAAAAGCGAATTAATTAATAGCAAAATGAAAAAAAATGAAACAATACCTTATAAATCTTATGTATGTATATACATTCATATCTAATTTCTTTTGCTCTTAATTTGGAATCCTGCAGAATCAATTGTGTTACGGGTATGAAAACTTCTAAAGAATTATGTAAGCTTGGTGGAATTTCAAGGAATTCAAAAAAGGGTATATCTAATTCTTATTCACAAAAGCAACATTTATAAAATAATTGTTGAATATAGGACCTATAAAATCCTGTTTAAAAAAATGTCAGAGAGAGATCAATATGTAGATTAAATTAGAAAATGTAAAACTAACCATAATACTTATTTTTATTCTCCCTATTTTCATTTCTCTTATTTTTATTCTTTTTATTTTTATTTTCTTTATTTTTATTTTCTTTATTTTTATTTTCTTTATTTTTATTCTCTTTATTTATATTTTCTTTATTTTTATTCTCTTTACCATATAGTTTTGGTATAATTTCGCTAACTGTAATCATCTATCCAATTTTTTTGACTGCTTTATTAGAATAATACTCTAAAAAATAGGCTAGAAATATTGGATCGTCATCTAATGAAAAGAATGATTAATAAATTAATATCTAACATGTAAAATGTGTTACAAATATAATTAGCATTAATTTAAATAAACAAACTTAAAAGTGCTTTATGTATCACACTATATCCACCTTCCCACGATTTATACTATGGTATGTGGAGTGATTTCTCATGCAATAAACTATCGCGAACTGACTTGATATCTTGTGAAAATTTGTTTTCGATTTAAAGCTTATCAATTTCAAGTTTGGATGCTATACAATTAAGGATTTTAAACCCGATTTCAAGTTTGGATGCTATACAATCAAGGATTTTAAGAATATGATCTTTTTAGGGATCATTATCATCATCAGCATCTTTACTTTCGCTAAATAATATGTATTTTATAAGTGAATATTCCTTCGCATCGATGAGAATACTCAATAAATCAAAGCAAAAATCTAATAATTGCCAAACAATCGGATACCGCTGAATAAATTATATGATAATATTTCGTGTTTGTTTGACTATTTCTTGGTATCTTGAGAAGCAACTTTTAATAGCTAATGCTACAGCATATTCAGGCACTTGAAATATCTGATATAGATATTTAAGTGTGTGACAAGCTTCCTTAACAGCATTAATTATATCAATATCAAGTAGGGAGAAAAGAAGAGTCCTAGGACAAAATTACCATAATGTATTCAGAACGACCTCTAACCTCTTTTACAAACTCTTCTAGATATATTTAAT